AAGAAGAAGAAGAAGAAGAAGAAGAAAGACGAAAGCAAGAAGAAGAAGAAGAAGAAGAAGAAGAAGAAGAAGAAGAAGAAAGACGAAAGCAAGAACAAGAAGAAGAAGAAGAAGAAATAGAAGAAGAATAGTGGAAACAGTGGCCGACAATTGTTTTTCGAACACGAGCTCACATGAATAGAAAGTTATAAAAAAAAACACACGTCTTCTTCTCTGTACTGAGATCGCGCACGTTGCTCGACGCGTTTCGACTGTCTGCGCCTTTTTTTCTTACGGTTATCGTCAGGAGACATTCCCGCACTAAGCGTCGCGGCTTTCCCGCCTAGCATTAGAAGAAGTGGAGGAGGAGGAGGAGGAGGAGGAGGAGGAGGAGGAGGAGGAGAAGGTAAAAGGGGGAAGAGGAGGAGCAGGAAGAAGAAGAGGGGAAAAGGGCTGTCTCTTATACACATCTAGATGTGTATAAGAGACAGCTCTTTGATCGACGATGCGCGAGTCACAGATACATCCCCCAAAGGCCGATTCGTGTCACAGACATACCCGCCTTGAGCCCGACACGTGTCACACGGAGAAGCCTGCCGACGCCCACACGTGTCACAGACGTACCCCTAGAGGCCGACACGTGTCACATATGGGGCAACTGCGCCCCCCCCCCCCCCCCCCCCCCTCCCCTCTGATTGATCGACGAGGCAGCACCAAAGGCCGAGAATAACGAAATTGCTGCTATTGAATGAACAGACTATATGTGAATCTCTCCATGGATCGACGATGTTACTCTGCTCACGATTACCATGGTTATTACGTATTTTGCCAGGTACGTCGCATCTAGCCGTTTTTTGGCTTGCCGTCGATTTTTGGAGAGCCTTCTTCTCGACACTTCGACATCTTCAGCCTCCTCCCACCGAACCCCCCCCCAAAAAAACTGGCTGATGCTTTCGTTCTTCCACTTCACAATTCATTGGCGTCGACTTTCCGCCCACCGTCGTTGCTAGTAGAAGGTTTCTCAGGGTCTGTCGTTTGTTCTCGCGTCGGGCTCAGCTCAACGGACGAAAACTACTTTCAGTACAGAATTATGTCAGAACAAAGAACAGAACAGCAACACAGAAGAATAATTATGTTGTTGTCATTGTTTTTCTTGTCGTTGCTGTTGTGTTTTTTTTGACACGACGACGAAGAATACTGACAGAGAATGGGCAAACTGCTTTCAGTTCTTTTCTTCTTCTCAAGCTCTTGTGTTCCATATGCGCACCTACAGTACTCAGCAAGAAGAAGAAGAAGAAGAAGAAGAAGAAGAATAGTGGAAAAAAAAAGTGGCCATAGCCAGCTTCTCGTCCAAGCATCGAGGGATTCGCATCACTAATCCGCAAGAAGAAGAAGAAGAAGAAGAAGGACACAGGGAGCAACTGACTTCCGTACACGCTTCACAATGAAGGGAGCAATACGATGTCACGATGAAGAAGAAGTGGGGGGGG